GGGTAGTGGTAGGCGGCTGGGTGGTGGTAGGTGACTGGGTAGTGGTAGGTGGCTGGGTAGTGGTAGGTGGCTGGGTAGTGGTAGGTGACTGGGTAGTGGTCGGTGACTGGGTAGTGGTAGGTGACTGGGTAGTGGTCGGTGACTGGGTAGTGGTCGGTGGCTGGGTAGTGGTCGGCGGCTGGGTAGTGGTAGGTGGCTGGGTAGTGGTCGGTGACTCTGTAGTGGTCGGTGGCTGGGTAGTGGTCGGTGACTGGGTAGTGGTCGGTGACTGGGTAGTGGTCGGTGGCTGGGTAGTGGTCGGCGGCTGGGTAGTGGTCGGTGGCTGGGTAGTGGTCGGTGGCTGAGTAGTTGTCGGACACTGGGTGGGTGTCTTATCGAGTATGTCTCTGAGATGTTCACTGTACATCCGATTGTCGATGACGTTGTTTTGATCCCAGGATGCATCCCATAGCATTAAACCGCTGACCCCCTGCTTGGTCATTATTGTCTGAAATTATATGAAATGAAAGAAACATCACATTGTGTTCTGCGCATGCTCTGAATGTCAGGAGAACAGAGCAAGCATATGAAAACAATGCAAATAATAGAAAATATGATAAAATATGCAAAAACAAAACGAACACACGAAAAACAAAACAAAATATATACGAGTATGAGTTATCAAGATTTTCTCGTGCACCGAGCTTTTGCATTTCCCAATTAATATATACAAGAAAGTATCAGTTAATCCATGGGTAGACCTCAGATTCCTACGTAATCTCTGTAATAATTACTTATTTAGCAGTGGTCAGACTAGAGGATTTGATTTGTCTTGTATTCTACCTCTCTAGACTTGTTGTATTAGTAGGAATGACATGCTGCRTAAGTCATTTTAAAATCATTAAATCCACTATGCTTAGATTCCAAGAAACCACCCAAATATCTCCTCTTCCAAACACATGAAGAAAATCACGGATGAAGGAACTATATGAGTCATTCGCTCGCGCAGACCAGACCTGTTCATACTAACTGCAAAAATCTTCGAATTTTATTTGAAATTGAGAGTCAAATGGAAGAGAAAACAGGAAAAGTTCGTAATTGTCGAGGCATGAAGATGGAAGAAGAGGGTTGCAATCAGGAGCGGGATGATTTAGTAAACACTTTAAGGTCTCTTCTCGATGAGAGTGAGAAACTTGCTCATAATCTTGAAACACAGAACAAGAACTTGAATCAAATCATTGGTGATGAAAAGGAGCGAGTCACTGACTTGAGAAACAAACTAACCGAACTACAAGAACAAATTGACAACGAACACAAAAGAAACCGAGAAATGAGCCTACAGCACGAGCACATGAGAGCTGGATTTCTTGCAGCAACAGCAGAAAACGAAGGATACGCACGTGACATGGCGGCCATTAGAAAAGAACTTGATGGTTTGAGAGAGCAGTTTAATGTGGTATTAACTTTACAGAAAAGCAAAGAGGTTAAGCGAAAAGAAGAACACAACAAGATGTCTTTGGAAAGATTTGAAGAGTCTGAAGATGATGAACCATCAGGGGAGTCATTCAAAATTGAAGAATTGGAAGAGAAGCTAGAAATCAGCGATAAGATGCTACATGCCAAGTATTTAGAGACCGAAACCCTTCAAACAGACTTGGACAGAACCTCAGAGCGAGTATCAGAGCTAGAGACGAAAGTTGTAGTCATGAACGAAAGCGTCTCCAAAATGACAGAAAAGGTAGACGTCAGAGACAGAGAGGTTGCGCAGTTGACTGAGCTTCTAAAAGACACACAAGCAGCATTAGAATCWGARAAACTTGCTAAAGATGAAYACATCATCAAGTGTGAGYTGMTAGAACGAAAACTTGCTCTGATGGAAATGGAAGGAAGTGATGAAAGAGATGGAAGACTTAGYACAGATGATATGGAAAAGGAAATCGAAGATTTGAGAGAAAAGCTTGAAGAAGAAAGACTAAAGGTTGCTGATAAAATAGCCCTGGTGGAGGAACTCCAAGAGAAGCTCGCAGTTCTCGAGTTTGAAATGGATGCAAATATAATAAACAGAGAAACAAATGAAAAAGTGATGGAAGAAGAAATCCAAAATCTCAAAGAACATCTTGAAGATGTAAMGAGCAGCGATGCTGARAAGAATTCTATCATCGAAGAGTTGAAGCAGCAGCTTAAAGAGCATCAGACTCCAWCTGATTTTGAGGATAACATGAATTCTGTKTTAGTGCTTCGGTTAGAGGAAGAAAACGAAAGRTTAAGAGAAAYGGTTGAACAACTCAGAGCAACAGTCCACAAAAAGAATGTGGGAATTGATAGAGTGATTGATAAGTGTGTGGAGTATTTGTTAATGAAAGATGAACAAGATAAGGAATTATCAAACATAGAAAACTAATTTTAAACTTGTTGCTTGGACAGATATAACTGCACTATACGCGCGCTCTGGCTGGTTCAAAAGTGTGCTTTATGATGCATGGTAACGATGGTTATTAACAACAGGATGATTTTAACATGATGATGATGATGATGATGATGATGATCGTAGCAATTTTCATACTTACATTCCAAAGAGTCCTCACATCCTGAACGCTGCGATGGTGGCTTGGAGTTCCAGACGCGCGAGTGTGCGCAGGCAACCCAACCATGACTCCAACATTTGTTCTTGTAGAGAATCCCAGCCATTGATCCAAGTTGGCGTTGAAACTGTTGCTTCCAGTCCAGCAAAAGTTATTATAGTACTGCACGAACACATAGTCTGTTAGATTTCCTGCCTCTGTGAAGATGGATCAAGGGTTACCAAGTGAATAATTTATACAAAAAATTATTAACTACCTTTCAAAGCGGTATTTTCATTAACCGGGCCAAGCATGCGATCKGGGTATGGACAYTGAGGTGTTGTTGTRATKAGRTACGATTTGTTGCTGTTCGTGTYCATTAAGGATCGTAACTCTTTGATAACTGCACCAAAATTGTTGGGTTGCCCAGCTTCCAGGTTAAAGTCAACACCATCCATTACAGCACTGAAACATAATTAATAACACCGTAGTTAAAGCAGACATGCGCATTTAAACTACTTATGGYTTAAAAATGCTGTTCATTTAATGTATATGATACATTTGCCAGGAGYTATCAATCAATTTATCAGGTCTTTGCGCAAGCGTGCAATAATTTTTCATATCATGTACTTTTACGTCATTCATATCATCTTCATGTTTTTCTCTCTTGGTCAGCCGCAGTTTGGAGGGGAGAAATCTTCTCTCTGACATCAGCTAAAAGTCTAATTATTTCATCTTCTTCATCGACTGCTGTATTTATTGTGATTGTAAAGATGAACTCGCCCTTACCTGCCAAACGGTCTTAAATGGTTCGTACCARCCCCACCAAGGAACAAGTTCCATAGATGTCCAGCATGTCTTTTCGCCTGTGTGTCATCGTTCAAAATAGCATTCATGGTGGAACCACCGACAGACATCAAGACTTTCTTATTATTCTTCTGACAAGCCTCGATTCCTTCCTGGATTCCTGGACACCGCAGCAGGGTGGGATGATTTGGTGTTACCCCTCCACTGCAGTGAAAAGCGAAGTTTAAACCAGGCTCGCTACCTTTAATACAAAAAATATATATTTCAACACTTTAAAAAATGGCAACCTCTGTATTGCAAACAACTCGCGGTATAGACATCTGTATATTACGAAAAAGACTTTCTGGCAAAMGTTTGGTTTTAATCCACGAATACTTTTCTTTGTGTTGTGCATATCGTTACTCTGGTCTTACCTTGATTCCTAGAATCGAAAAGTGTAACAAGAAAAGCCACGTTGATAATATCATACTTGGAGTTCTCACAAAACCATTTTAAAGATCGCTCATAMTTTGCTTGGCCAAAAGTTGGGCCGGCGCCATTTTGTCCCCAGTACCCCACTAGTAGTGGCTTGGATGAATTAGCACAGGCAGCCCGGTGGGAACCTGGGGTTAAAATTTTATAATGATTTAACATGGGCCGATAATGATAATGGTAATGCTATGTATATAAGACATTTACAACGATTAAACGATACAATACTAGGTGTGCAACATATGTGGTGAAAAATAGTACTAATCACCTGGAAAAATCAAACGACTTGCATAGTATGTAAATAATTTGGAAATTGTTTGGGAATTAACTGTAAATTTTCATTTACAAACTAATGGGATATTTACAAACTAATGGGATATTTACAAACTAATTTTTAATTGTAAATTGTTTGTAAATGTTTTCTATTTCTTCTTTAAGTTGTTTGAAATAATTGTCTGTAAATGAACAAATTATAAAAGAAAAATGCTGTTATCTTGTGTGTTCAACACCATACATTAAGTAGATATAAGTGATCATTGCTGCTAAAAAAAATTCATTTCTGTTGTTCTATTTGGACTTTTTACTGTCTGTACCCTATCGATGTCATGCCATGTCAGGTTGAAGTGGTTCAATTCGTCCATTGATGCGTGGACAACTAATGCTATATTTAGAGGCACTTTGTCGAGCGTTTTAGCAGCTCTTACACTGAAGTATGTACCCTGAGGCTACTGACATTCGTTTTAATGTTGCCATTTGGTGTTGAAATGACTATCTTGACGTTATAACGGCTATAATTGATAACATTTATAGTTGATAACATATTTATGATTTATGGTCCTCTGGATCATGCGAAACAATATTGTAGTTAAAATTGCATCATGGAAAAACAGTAGTTTGTTATGTGATCTTCTATTTTATATACAGCTACGGCTTGTATATTGTCGTTAAAGTGCTACTTGCATGAATATGCCCTCATCTCAAAACTTCAAGCAATACAATTATATGACGCATTTATATCTATTAAAAACAATTGCGGGAAAATATTTGTTTTGGAATTATCCCATATCAGAGAAATTTTGATTCAAAAGATGGAAGAACAAAGGATTGAGTAAATGACGTCATCTACTCCAACATTTTTTGCCCAAATTATTAATATTATTATCAATATCTTCTTGAAATCTGCTGCTTCATGATTATTAGACCCATATAGATAGGTCTATTTGATATCCAAGTCTCTTCTAATCGCTTTCGCAATTTTCGTCCAAGTAGCCCTTTAAGCACTTTTTAGCTGTTCTTTTTATAATTTTTTGTAAGTAAAATCTTCTTAGCTCAATATTTTATGTATAATTAAATCTCGATATTATTATTTTATAATCAATATATCATTATCAATTTCTAGAATATATGTTTCCTCATTGCAAAAACTGTGATCATTAATAAAAGGTACTGCAAATCAAGCATTGATGGAAACCTTCTTGATGTGTGTGTTGCGTAACAGACGCCATGTTGGATGACGTTCTCTTGTTCATCCATCCAACATGGGGCGCTCTTTCTTCTTAGGATGTTCTTGGTCATGGCGTTGCACACCAAGAATGTTTATTAACTCTCCCTAATAAGGAAATTGCTTCACTCATAACGCGAGAAAAACATAAATCCTTCCTAAAGTTTACTCGTTATTACCAACAGAAATAGTTATTTCAGAAATAGTTATCTCAAATTCAAAATGTTTTAATATTCTAACAAAGTCAAATTTATGGCAAAACTTCATCAAGGGAAATTCTAATTAATATGATATATTTTGGATATGGTATTTTTGTTACATTTGTATTCGTTTAATTTATAATTGAGAAACATATGTTGAAGGTATTGAGATCGGACGTGTTAACCATTCCAGCATCCTGTTCGATCAAGCACTTGAACATTGGACTCACTTAATCACACCCTCGTGAATTTACAACACGTTTACTAAATTATCTCATGTCCCTGCTATCAAATCTATATAGAATGGATTGCCGTTATTTATCGATCAAATAAATCTGTTTGTATTTGTGGAATGGTRTTCTCTCGTCAAGAGTTTTTACCCGTGAAATATAACACGGTTTTGGACCAATCAGAGAGCGAGCGTAAGAATATAATAGTATTTATCTAAAGTTATTTAATTTTTGTCTGATATTTATATAWAATACACTATAATATACTACATATAATATTTTAAAGTTCACACAATCACAATTGTCTGTGATGTCACTTTGATGCAACCAGAATAAAAAAAGTTTTTTTTAAGAATAGTTTTTACTGTTGTTTTTTATTTTTAATGCGAGGAAACATTGATTGGTTGTGATGTAAATACCACATAAAAGTAACCAACACAAAAAAAACTTATTTTGTGTTGTTGTGTTTTGTAGTTTTTTTGTTTTGATAAAATGAATTACCATTTAGTTGGAAATTGTTTAAAAAATGAAAAGCGACCCCATTGACGAAACTAAACATATCTACAACATAAACCTAAAATAATTTTACGGAATACTTACGCAACGATGCAGCCTTGCATTCAAAAATTGCAACTAGGAGTATTACGGCTTTGAACCACATTACTAAATTGAAGCTAATAAACTTTTCACTAATCTAGTATCTATCTGATATCATCTGTAAGACTTTGACTAGAATGATGGTGTTACTCAATGGTCATTGCTTCTTGTAAATCTGTCTTGGTCACGTGATGTTTGATTGACAACTCGCCCTTTCATTTTAATATGTAGTTATTATTCGTGTTCCGGCTTTGTTAAATAAATGCATATAAACTCTGCCTTATATGATAAGAATTAAACCTAACCTACGCAAYTACACCCTGTATAACGTAATATATCTTGTATTGTTTTGCGTATCCCTCCAAACGCGGCGGAAACGCAGTGTTTTAACATAAAACGTAAGCAAACTCTCGAGGCGTACATACGCAGTGTGTTAAACGTCCGTTTTCCTATGATAAGTCGAGTTTGTATACTTAAACACACTCTAACATTTCCCCTTGTTTTGGTGATATTTATTAATACTCAAATAAGCAATGTTGACAAGAATGAGGAATTTTGTGATATTCAAACATCGCCGATGTTTTCCGCCGTGCRGATGTGAYGTAAATGATGAARCAATTGGCGTCATTTACACTGCTYGTGTTGTTGTATTTATGTTTTYTTGTTGTAATAACAATCGTGTATGTTACGATAAACTCTAGTTTATTTTTTATTAATGGCGTGTAATACAACACGTGCATATGTGAACAATTACCCCTGACTAGACCCCTACACAGGACAAGTCTACCCCCCACGGGACTTATTTGCCAAGCAACAACACGGGGTTGATCCGTTTTAAACGTCGAATTTCACATGAGTCGATATTGAGAAGAAATAAAAAAGAATAGTAATCGCCATTTATAACTTTGAAAATATTTTTCCCACGACTTCATGGGTACAGACTATACCTTTGTACATATACCAATATATAAACATTATAAACACTTGTAAAGTTTCTCAATCGTGAAAGTGAGCTATTCTTAACTTTCTTTGAATWAATTTTTAAATCTTCATGATATGTTATTCCGACATTAGTTCTGACAATCACAACTAGAAACCAACTTTAATCATCTGTCATTAAATGAAATTCAAGTCGTAAATATCTTATGTATAGCTTTGTAAAGTTGCTTTGTTGGTTGCTTGTGACGTCATCGCCGCCATGTTGGATGAAGAAAACAAAGCCTTCTCCATTAAGTTCTTGTTATTCATTCATCCAACATGGCGGCAAAGCTTTGTTCTTATTCATGTGGTTGTAAAGCAAGAAATATGTTCATAGTTATTGACGTAGTTTAATCACGTTCACAAACGGACGTTTCTTGATTCTACTGCCGGTTGATCAATACAATGTCACTACGATCAATATCACAACGCGCGATACCATCACGAACAACAAAATATCACATATATAATCCTGTAAAACTATAGTTTATTATACTGTTGTTATAATAGTTATGTCATCAAGTAATCTGTGGTTTGAATTCYATGAGAAACGTTATTGTTTTTTGTCTCTTGCCTTTGTCTTTCATACTTCMAAGAGAAGCCCTTGAAAGTCTGTTTCATGTTGAACACGTATACACTTAGACATACTCGAATGCTTTACTAAATGTAAGACTTGGAGCACAGTTTATATTTTTACTTCTTCTTTATTTGATTCATATGTGTTTTCCAGCTATCCTAATATACAGAATTTGATAATCATGGATTATTTAGATCAATGATAGTTTTTCTATTTAACTGATATGGTTTTTAAAAACTGTTGGTGCAAAACATTCAATATTAATATAGCAAATCTGATTGGTTACCAACAGCTCTATTAATAGTAATAGACTTCACGCTTTGCCTTTCATCTTTCAAGTTAATGAACTCCGCAAATTGTAAATTATGACTTTTTAGGTTCTCAGAAACATCAAGTTCATCACTTTAATGTGCACTGTTCACTTGTTTCTACAGTATCATGTTTGACACTGGAATATTTTTTTTGAACTGTAGATGCAAACYCTTCAACATTAATTATACTGATTATAGCCACTTTTCCGTTTTAGGAACGTGAAYTTGACGTCTAAGTCCAATATTAAGCGTATCAGACAGAATACATCATGTCAAGCCCTCRACCTCCATAACAATTACAGGAAATTGTAGTAAATTACACGAGTTTCTGTCTGTGTTTGCTCTTAATATTGATGAAATCTTATTAAACATTATTGTGGAATRACATGAGCCGGATGTGTGATAGTGAACGCAGATGAAAAACACAGGCACTTCAGATAATAAGAACAACCACTTTTTAGCCAATGARCGCAAGAGTTTTTTCAGCCAATCAGGGAGCAGCGCTTTTTCAACCAATCATAGTGAGAGATTTTACAGCCAATCAGAGCCGGTGCTTTTCTTAGATATCGTGCTAGATACAAAACAAACAGTTATTACGAATAAAATACACATCATTAAAACTACGGTACTTAAGTTATTGTGCTTATGATTGATGTACTCGGCTTTTTGATGCACAAAAATGATAAGAGTTTTTTTTTGCTTAATGATAGTAGCGAGTTCATTCATCAAGTATATTATTAGTCGGCATTTTGTCGGCTTCTCGCAAAGGACACAACACGGCATTGCTGTTGTGGTATCCCTGCTTACTTTGTTGATCTATTATTGTTCATTCACATTGAGAACAAATTCAATTGAAATAAGGAACTTAAATACGATAAGATATCAAACAGGAAAATCATTTTAAAAATAGAATTTATTATAATTCAAATATGAAATGATTGATAGAAGTAGGAAAGCAATTATCGCATGCTCGTTATTACTAAGCAACGACAGTTGACAGGAAAACTTCCCCATATCTAATGAGTAACATTCAYTCACCCAGGCAGCCATTATAACTTCTTCTGTCAAGAGTAAAGTTTAGAGTACAGCTGTGTAATGTGAAAGGTGTRCATGGACAATAAACATCAACGACGTGGAAATGAAACTGTTTCTGGAGAAGTCTGTATGATCATCTTGAGGTAAATTTACTATCGATTTTTTCTTCTCTATATGGTGTCTACTTTATATAAGTACGCTTTCTGTTTTATTTCTTAATTTTCTTAAAAAAAACAACGTATGGAAATGATTCTTTATACAAATTACAAAATGTATTATTGAAAATATAAAGGTATTGATTTAGATTTTCTCGTCTATCGAAGCAGTCAAAAAGTCGGTGTAGTGAGCGTATTTGTGAGAGACGATGACTTGTTTTTCCAATGAAAAAAAAGAGCCTAGCTACTGAAATATAGAATGACGGATCAAAAAGTACCTGTGAAGTTTGTTTGTGTGCAAATAACCCGTAATTTTAAYACAGAGAGTGTATTTTCAGTGATTTAATATAAAAATATAAAGGCGTAGCTACAATATTGAACTCTCGCATGATATACATCTCTCAAACGGAGAAGTCAAAAACTTGATAATGTATGTTGTCAGTACAAATAACCAATCATTGTATGTGAGTGTATTTAGGATTATAAGTTTACTGGAATGAGCTATAAAGTAGTCAAACATGTAACCTTGAGCTGATAAAATAYATGAAAGAATAAAATTAAATACTGTCTGATGAGTGCGTAGCACGAAACTCGGAGTTACAGCAAAATCTTGCCTCTTTGATATCATATATATGAAAGAACATAAAAACTTCGAAGATGACTGTATTTGTTGATAGTTCACTGGTCAACTGACTTATTACCAGCGTCTTGTTTACGAGGTTTACATACTGCATTTTCAATTCTCCCTTGCATTATATCAAGGATTACAAATGAACAAATGTATGTATAAATGAAATGGAAATAATGGAAAGTTATAATGCTTGGGAAGTAGTTATTCCGGGAGAAAGACCCGTTTGAAATAAATTCAAAAAAGTTATTTCCGAACTCGCTGGATTCGAACCCACGACTTTAGAATTTGTACTGCCGATGCTCTACCAGCTGAGGTAGATGTTCAGACTGGCAGTAAGGAGGGTTGAAATAGAAAGTATAAGTTGARTAAATGGATGGATAGGGAAAGGGATGGGAAATAGGAGGGATAATTATGTAACAAGCCGAAGCATTCGCCACATGCTACAGACAATAACACAAAATAAACACAAAACAAGACGAAAAAGTAAATAATTTAACAATTTAATTTTCAAAGTGAGATTTGTTTTGCTCACGGGGGTGACTTCAATTTGTCAGAACCAAAGATAATTCAATTATTACTATTTGGTGTTGCTTTAGGAAAATTAATCACTTTATCCAATATAAAATATAATGCAAAACTTGGAAAATGACTTTAAAAATCTTGCTAAAAGGCATGACTTGGTTCTTAATACACAGCTCTGGCCGGCTAGTTCTGTTTAAATGGAAAGAGCCCAAGGATAAGACTATAATCAAATCATCCTTAACTCTAATATCTACGTAACTAGGTGGTCGCCGTCAGCTGAAAATTATTTATACAATCAATTGAAAACAAAAAAAAAAAACATTTCTAATGTTGATAAAAAAGGTGGGCATGGTTGATTTAGACTAGTGAGGGAATGAAAAGTGCTAACCATTCAAAATACTATACAGGAAAGGTCTTTCTAGCGTCTTTATAAACTAATAAATACTACTGAGGAAATACAATTCATTTTGGAAATCAAGAAATCTTATTACATGCAAAAACCTGATAAAACATGGAACCGTTCAATTTTATTTTAATTCGGAACTTCTTTTSTAAATTCAAAACATCGTTTTATTTGTACAAGTCCATGTTGAGGCTTCAGAAATTTTCTCTAGTTATAAGCGATTAATTAAACAATCGAAATTAAAGTTTTTCTGTTATAATTTACTATCATGTCATTGCTTAGCAGCAGTGTATGACGTCACTTCCCCCATGGCAACACTTTTTCATTTTTAGACGACAACTCTTTCAAACTCGAATCTAACATCAGCGCTGAACCAATGCAGACTTCTCGTCTCTTATCACTGATCTCATTGCAGTTATTCAGGACATGAGAGAAACGGCGTTTTAATATATAATCCACCATTAGTTGATAAGAGTGACTAGCGAGTCCTCATTAGTGTATCTCAGTGATACACATCAGGCCCAAGGGCAAYAAGGAATTCAAGAGGTTTCTCCTCGATATTAAAGGATATTCACTAGAATGGCTTTTATTTTTTATTTCAAAAGATCCGTTTGCTAAAAGACAACCTTTACAACTATTTATTGAAAGATTAACTTTTTGTCGCACGAAAACCTTTCGTAGTTTTTGGGAAAAGTGATAAGATCAGATAATATACTTTTATTCATACACGGTAATAACATCTACATTAATTACTAATATATGAAAATATAAATATTTGATAAAGAATTCTATAAAAAAATAAATATATATGTAAAATAAAAGCTGTTTTTCAGAGTGTCGTGTGCCGTGATCCTAGATTAATTGAAGAAGTTGCTGCAGGCACCTCAAAATTCACTTAGAGTCATTTTTTCCTCAATCTTGATCCAGGTGTTAAGTTGTTTTGACTGGTAATTCTATGATTATAGTCATAGTTAGAGATAAATACCGTTAACTTAATGCGCGTTGAGTTATTGTAAACCAAAGCCCTCTGCGCTCACTCGTTAGAGATCTTTTCAACTATCAAAGGTAAAATCCGTATCTCCGCGTTCTATGTAGATATCATCTATATTCTATATATATTCTAGTCGGTTAAAGAAGTCCTTAACACAAATGCAAATGGACAAAATTTTGCGTGCGTCGTTCAGCGCGTAGTTCAAACTGCTGAGTATGTGACATCTTTCGTGAAAAATGTTACTCGTTTCTTGATTTGTTTATAACGATTTGTTATAGTCTTTGTTTTTCTGAAAATTCATAAGTTTGTGTTGATAATATGTGACAGAGAAAAAGTGTGTTCAATCATAAAAGAGCTTTTTGTAAGTGTTTTTAACTACAGAAACGARACAAAGTGCTTTTGTTGTTTTATCAAAATTCATTAACATGCGACACCAAAGAAAGTGTGTTCACTCAAATAATAAGTTGTTTTAAGTGTTCATAGAAGCAAGATAAAGTTGTTTTCAAAGTGCTTTTATTTTGAAATTCATCAGTTTTCCTTGAGACGGAAAGAAGTGTCTTCAGTCATAAAATTACTTCTTTTAGTCACTTTTTCAATCAATTGTTTCCATGCGTTTGACAGACATGGATATAGAAATGAAARAAAGTAGTAGATGTTTATAAACTACATTTTATATGACTTTTTAGCTTATTGCAGTTCTGGCAAGCAAGTAAAAATACACGTGAAATAGATTTCACACACACATTTGTATAATAAACCTTTTAGCGATCTCTTTTWCACTGTGAAAACTCAAAACCATGTAATAAATTCTTTTATTCAGCAACAGCCCGTGCAAATACAAGAAATCTGTAGTATRGAAAACAATGAAAAGTGATTTTTCTTTAAATTTCTGGATATTTTACACACAATTGAGGCTAACACAGTGTAGAAGAGATCGTGAAACTCAGTCATTGTTTTATGTCTATTAGTGACTATCACAAGTTTAGTGACTTCATTCTACATTTGCTCGTGATGCGATGGCTAAATAAACTCTCTTTGGCAATAATTCATACAATATCCCTAAATTGTACTATCCGTCTTTGATATTTAATCAAGTTGTTTGATAGCGATGCGTTGATATTTGTACAAGTGTTTCGTCATTAGTCCAAACACTGCACTTGTCGCTCTGGTTCTGTCGGTCATTTCCTCTTATTTCTTCTATAAACAAATGGARATCTTTCTTTAGGACGACATTTTCATCATAGTTTTTTCTTTTTTTTTTGCATTTTTTATCTCCTAATCTGCAAGTGGCCACACGGGAAGATCTTTTCGGTACTTGTATTTCGACTGAGTTGAATTTCAGAAGTACCAACTTCAACGCAAACAAGATCAGAAAACAAACAAAAAATAGAAGTATTTTACAWTCACTTTGGAACGTGTGGGACTCGGCGTTTGAATACAAACATGTGAAGTTTCATCTCATCACGTTTTCTCTTGTGAAGTGAATTTGAAAATCATTCCCTACTCGCTTATACAAATTATACAAATTCAYTGAACTCCAAATGACTATATTCAAAAATCTCTTCCGTTTTTGTTATTGTTTTTCATTTTTTTCTCACATTTTATTGTACTCAGTCGTTGTGTTCATGTCAATTCCTGGTCATGAAAAAAAAGCCAGGAACGATTGCCAGCTTGTACATGTGTTAGATCCCAAATCCTTGAATCACCATACTTTTTCTACCTGGTTTCTTTGCTAAATATTAAAGATAGTATCGCAGGTGCATTTAAATGCAATCTATTTCTGTTCCGCTGAAAACAAAACGCCAAAATGAAGGCATCGAATAATCCCAACCAATCGTATTCAAACGTATCGTTGCTTAGAAACATTGATTGCCCTTCCGTTTTCGTTAACACTAACGCCCTCGCTGGAAAACATGCGACTAGATGGTGAAACTTGCTGAATACCCTCAGAACAAACACAACATTAATGCGCTCTATGGGTATACMTTYGATACCTTTTTCACTCTAAGGAWTTATACGGTTTTGAATATTTGAAAGAACTTCCTCGACACAAAGGAATATCCTAATTTTACGCAAAAAAGGTAAATATTTTGGTTTTMATATGTTTATTTGATTTGCAACGCCGTAATACTAACTGTATATAACAGGAAAAATTCAGTAAGTTATTCYCACTTTTGGTATGTGTGTTGTTGAACAGACGGCTCATTAAAAAGGCAGTCTATTTTATATACTATTTATTRATGAACTGATTGGAACTGAACTGAAATTTATTTTTATTCAGTTGTTAGATTAGTCAACTCTTGATAATATTCACCAATATAAACAGCAAATAAAAACAACAATCAATAATTCATAGCACTATTATATACTATATACTATATAAAAAAACAGAGTTACTATATACTATATATATATATACTATCAAGGCATACTGCCAAGAACCAGCGATAGACTCGAAAATGGAAGACTTCTAAATACTTCGCTTTCCGACTACAATTTAGGTATTTCATTAAGGAACATGAATTCAATGGTGTTCTTTGCCATCTCTGATGAATTTACTGACTGTTTTGAGGTGAATAGACTTTACTCAATAGACTAGAATACGCATGGAAGTTATGGAAATTCTAAAACTTTTAAATGTTTTTATATACTGAATATTTAATATACTGGACACTGAACCTGTAAATGAACTGCTTTCGATTCTTTCCTTACTTTTGAATGTATTATTTTTTAAGTTAGAAAGCCATAGAATTAGGTTAAAACTATCACAATTTGAATACAAAGTCATCAAATAAAACAGAACAAAATCCTTGTGATTTGACGAAGGATTTCTAAGTGCCATTGAAAGCAAAGTGTGGGTTTTTATCAAACCCTGTTTTTTTATTGTTTAATATTTTTCAAAGGAATATATATATAAACATTCTAATAGGTTTTCTTTGTGTGAAGATCTCAATGTCAATAATAAAAGCGCGAWTCTGAAATCACATATGGCCAAGCGCGCATGTACGTATTGTTAACAGTTAACATTAGCCTGCGTGAAGTCGGTTTAACAGTAACTATTTTAGTTAAGTTTTGATCACCGTCCACACTGGAGAGCTTTGCAAGCGATCAGAACTGTGAAGTCGTTTACGTGTTCCGTACGTAAACGTTCCGTAATCGTACGTAAACGCTTCTGTGTACGAAAACGGTAKATAAACCTAGGTAAACACTTATCTAATAGATCGGCCTGTAAAGTCTATAAACAGTTATCACTTGCGTTTTACCTTTCCAAACGTTAACGCTTCGTAAACGTACACAAAAAACGTACCGTACGTAAAATCTTCTATGTTACGCTATGTAAACGTAGTTAATTTATAAGAAACAACTTACGATACGTTCACGTGTGTTCAATACTGAACAAGTTAACTACACTAGTATTTGTATTTTCTATTGTCGTCTTGTAGATAAGAAGTTTAAAGTGATGCTCAAGAAATGAATAAATTAATCCATAGTTACACTAAAAAAATCAACAGTATTTAGAGACATATGATAAACACCTGTGGAAACTGATCTCCCTTGATATTGTGTTTTCGTAACGTTGTAGCGTGGTTTTTTATTCCTTGATATTGTGTTTTCGTAACGTTGTAGCGTGGTTTTTTATTCCTTGATGACGGAGAACAAGAATCACACTCTACGAAAAGGCGTCATAACGGACAAGAACAAATACATGAACAAAACGCCCCCAATGTCATACAGACGTAAATATTGAGAGATAGCGAACTACCACGACATTGTTTGGTTGTCGACGATCAAAATAGAAATCCTAGTGGCTTAGTGCTGAAAAATATGAAAAAATATATTTTATCGAAGTTAATGCCTCTTAATTGCATTCAATAATTCAATTCCAGCATTTAATCTGATTATTGTCACGTTTTCACTTTAAATTCTTGTTATTATAACTGATATTTCCTCTTATTTGTATGTGCAATCAATCTAAAAAACTGAGCCATATTAAAAGACGTATAATTCATAGTAATTATTGCTTATGCACTCGAAGTAGAAAGCAATTTTTAACTGTAAAGTCGAACTGTCTATTTGTTCTAGAATTCAATTAATTATTTTTAGAAATATTTATTTAATATTAGTTTGTTTTTGCTCTTATAGGAAGCGATACTCGCCTAAAGGTCCACAATATAAAAGTTGCTTTTGATATTAACGTTTTAGACTATACAACTTTTCTGCTGTAATTTTGTATAGTTAAGCGCTGTTTAATTATAGAAAAATCATTAATCTTCACAGCACGAAGGAAAGGAGTTTTAATTTAGTTTTGCGTCCTTTATATGAACAGTAGGTTAGTTTCATATCCGGGAAATAKAGTGTGAGAGGTTCTTGTCTTGTAATCCCATCTGTYKTCAAGAGGAAATGCAAGAAATAATATTTTTTTCGGCGCTTTTTTCCACCGACAAACTTTATGTCATTGATATCATGGTGACTTTCAGCTGCTGAAATTATTATAAACTATACTATGCATTATTTAAGGGACATCTTAACATTTTCAACTGGTTCTGAATTTTTACGCAATTGTCTGTGTGATCAGAGTCTATTTATGAATACTTCTTTATGAAGCGATTTCTTTTTTTCGCTGTTTTCTTGACATATTTTTCTTGAAATTTTATTTTCAAATCATTAGTTATTAATAAGATTGATATTTGAATTGATAATAACGCGATTATTGAATCTGTTTATAATCGCAATAAAACACTGGATTGAAAAATCGCGCGCTTTAAAGGTTGTAAATTTGATGTAAATATTATGTAAGTGTCCAAAATGATGTAAATTTGATGTGAATCTTGTTCACAATCGGAATAAAATAGATAAAATAAAATAAATTTCAGATTTTCTGGTGAAACATCATGCCTGTGTTTAAATTGTTATATTCTGTTAAGCCTTAGGGTATCTCAAATATTGACGAGGACTATAGTTTATCATGACCAGGTGTTTGTAATCAACAGAGCCGATCTAAGGTGTCTGTCAGTAAACCCTATTTTCTCATTATCAGCAATTTAGACCTGATTAAGGTTTCTTGTTCTTCCAGCTTAGTCGGAATATAGACTCTTGATTAATAAAACAGTATATTGAGCACCGTACGCACGCGTTTTCTAATGATCTCTAASAAACAGTAAATATCAATGACAGGTTTACGTTACGTAGAGAGAACATTACGTTTGATAATGACATTGTGATATCTCTCTCCAGGCGAATCTAAGAACAATTTGACGGTTACGATTTTATATTTCCATTACATTACGTCTTGAATACCCGCGTTACGGAGTTACAAACGTGAATTTTCTCAAAGCAAACATAAAGAACAAACAATTACGTGTCWTGATTTAGCTTTACGTTTACGCAGAAATACACTCGCGTAAACGCWATCAACGAATAGACTAACAATTACTTCACAGCTTTACTCTACGTTTCCTTACGTTCTTCTGATTTACGTTAATTGCTTAGAGTTTGATATAAAATGTCGTTACGGTGTTGTTTGCATGCAAATAAACGAACAAAGAAAATTGTTGACATTTTCAGGCTTGTTTTTTTCATTCATATTTAAATCACTCTATTTTTATACGTAAACCTCTTCATTTCAGTTTCATTAATCGTAAATAAAAGAATTTCATCTGTAATAATTGGCTGCTTTCCAAACAGGCCTAAATCTACAAAACCTCGTYCTTTACCTGGCTTACAAGCGATTTAGTTCTATAGTGTTGGGTTATAGTCGTACGTAAACGTTGACTGTTTAAACTTTACGTTACAGGACTCGATTTGCAGCGGGCGAGTAATATGGCGCTGGAGAATTCTTCATTGCCCAAGTCGTCGACGTGTTGGTTTCTACAAATTCATCGTTTCCAAGAAGAGCAAAGACCTTACGTAATCGTAGCGTGYGTATTCAACGCTCTTCTATTCATACCTAACGTTCTAGGAAGCGTGCTTATCTTAGCAACGATGTGGAGAAACCCGAATCTAGAAATGCCYAGCCATGTGTTCCTGTCGAGCCTGGCTGCTGCTGATCTTATTACTGGTATYGTTGTGCAACCTTTGTTYGTTMTTCATAAAACTGCTTGGATGTTTGGTAATTGGAAAATGGATTGTATTCCTAGGGTTATCACAGAAATTGTTGCWTGGATCTCTTCTGCTGTSACYTGTGCTACCATAGGRATGATWAGCTTGGATCGAATGCTGGCGTTGACTTTACACATGCGGTACCAACTTTATGTCACTCGAAAACGCGCTCTCCAAGTTACTGTCCATCTCTGGRTCTCACTAACTCTTCTTAGTTTCACTCGGTTCTTTATGTCTGATATCGGGCCTTTTATCATCATTGGAGTCTGTGGAATATTAGCGGGTATTTTACAAGTATTTATCTCCTATGCACAGATATATAAGTATATGCGACATCACCAGAAGAAAATCGCTGTCGAAACCGTTGTTCCTGCGCCTCTTGGAGCATCRTCACTTGAAAGCAACGGCAATGAACAGATTAAAACAGTCAAAGTAAAGGCACTTTGGAAATCAGCCATGAATCTGGCATATGTCGTCGTTCTGTATGTRATTGTWTATTTACCATTTGTTTGCACTCTGATTGCCTTCCTGGTCCACGGCCAAACCATGGTCATCGATATTTTATATGACTTGACTAGAACTTTTATCTTTTGTGGATCGGTGTTTAACCCTTTATTGTACTGTTGGAAGATCAAAGATATYAAAGTTGAAGTTCTTAAAACTCTTGCTAGACTAAAAATCGACAAAAATAATGGATTACCCAGCAGTAGCGGGACAAACAACGAGTCAGATGTTCATAATGCTTCGAAAAGTTATGCTACGGAGACCCAGAGAGCTGAAATCTCTAGAACAACACACTTTTAATTCTACTCAACTTGTAAATATCAGAAACAATGAAACTGGTAACGACACAACTTTTTCAATGTCTTTTTGTCGTGATTGGTAAGCCAATCATGTTTATAAAGCAACACATGAAAAAAAAAAACACTAAATTTTATGTGTAATTTTTTTTTWAAATGAGATAAAATTTATGTCAAGTCTTAAAGACATAGTAGTCTAGATTCATTTATTCTTTCGTCACGTGGACGTTTTAATCACGAGGGTTATCACGTGATCATCTTGTGGCCAATGAGAGGGTAGCCTTTCTGACGTCGTTCATTTTAAGTTGATATATGACGGGGTTGATTAGTGAGTTTGTCGCTTGTAGTACTTTCGCGCTGTACCAGGCGCTCTCGGAAAATTGGATTTTGCTGTAAGACATAAAATTGAGAGCCATAAAAGGGACCCAACACACGATAGACGACACGGTAACGATGAACAGTGTCTTAGCAAGTTCTTTCTCTCGTGTGGTGTTTTGTCCTCCACYCATTTCTTGTCGTTGTTGACTTTGTCTTTTCATCTTGAAGTAGATGGCCAGATATCCAATGCCGATGATGCAGGTCGACCCCAGTAGCCACGCTATTAGAACGAGAAATGGTTGCAGACGAACCATAAATGTAATACCAGCTATTAATGAAATAATCCACGTGACAGACACGCCTATCACATACGTCGCCAAGGGCGTGGTGCGACTTTTAAATGGATAAAAAGTAACGTAACATCTCTCAATGCAAATCAGAGCCAGGAAAGAAATGGACGCTAAACCGGCAAATATGCTTGACGCTCGGAGATATATAACATAGCGAACTGGTATCGAAAACCAGCCGAGATTTCTCCAAATATACTCAACTATAAAAGATGGCATTGAAATGATGCCAAATATCAAGTCCGCTACCGAGAGATGGGCGATACAAAATAAACTGCGTCTCCTTCGTAGATGTGCGTTGAGTGTGATKGTCATAAGTGTGAGGAGATTGAGGATAGTAATGGTGAATGACTGGACGATGAAAAMTATTAACCATGCTATGTAATATCCCTGACTATTGCTTGATTCAGTAGTCTTATTCATTGCTCTACCTTGAGATAAATGGCGTTTGTTTTCGTGTTTTTCTTCTTGCTTTCTTCTGAGTAGTTTTTGTTTTTGCTTTTTTCAATGACGATACTTATACTTGTTTCTTTCATCCAATTTTTTTCTTCATTCTTTCATGTTGTTAATGTTGTTGCTCCTGCTCACACTTTCCCCYCTTTTTTTTGTAATTCTTTTTCTTGTCGTTCTTCTCTTATTCCTCTTGATGGAGTGGCGTACCCAGTGATTGGTGCTGTCAACGGAGGTCTTTCGGATTTCCAGACACTTTCAATTGTCCAGCCGGAAAAGCCTTCAGTGTTTTAACCAAAAGTGAAACCCCAATACACCATGCCAAAAATAAATAAGTACCTCACGTTATAGCATTGGAGCAACTGCGAGTTTTATCAATATGTCTTCAACCAGATTTGAAGGTATCCCAAATACTGGTCTGATGTAATTAGAGTTTAGAAAAAGTTCTTTATTTCCAGGCAWTCTAATCCTTGGCCACCCCATTGGTCAATACTCACACCTGTAAGATACTATTTTCACCCATACATTAGTTGAGCTTCCACCTGTATGTTTGTAAGCTCAATTTGATGTCGCGTTGGGCAAATACAATCGGATATTTTTAAAAACAGTCCTCAAAAATTATTTTCCCATTCAGCGTGTGAACAAATCGAGCGATCTGTTAAAAAATTTGAACACGTAATGCATATGCTGTTGGCATTATATGCTGCAAAAATTAAAAAAATACGTTGATGAAGCTTTTTTTAAGTATTAACGTACTCAAAACCTTTAAAATTTTGATCCCATTTGTCAAATTTAAATGGGAGTAACCTTGAACATCWGAAGAAATATAATTTCTTATTCTCACTATCCATATCTTATTCAATTAAGACTTATTATTAACGATGTCTGACTTAAGTGCAGAAATTTAATATGAACCTGCCTCTAGTAGCAGCTGGAAACATGAATCTGTAAATGACAAACTACAAACATCACTCACAGCTAATCATTGACGTACTCCGACTGACGCACTCATTTACAAATTTATCACGTTTCTCAAAGCATCTAAAGTTCTCTTTTTAAACATTTATACATATTGGTATATAACTGCATGGTTTTTGAATTAATTCTTTGAAATTCAAATACCGATCCTCAGTTGTTGATGACGAGAAATATTATAATAATATAAATAATATATCAACCACCATCATGGCCGCCATCAACTGTTACTCCAGCATTACTTAGTTAATCAACATCTTAATTGAAAATCATGGTTTATACGCTCTCATGTACGTCTATCCTTTGTAGTTTACTAAAGAGTATGAAATGGCGACGAATGCGATTCATTTTGATATTTTGATTCTGATTTGAACGATAAAAATGTTTTGTTTTTTTGTTTGTTTGTTTGTTTGTTTGTTTGTTTGTTTTGCAGACGTTTCGTTTCTCTTTAGTGTGTACTCTATCTTAGTTTGCCCGTCTTTTAGTGCATTTTATATTTTTTACATTAATAATGGCGATGGTGTGTATCTCTGTCTGATCATTGCAGGATGTGTTTTTGTTATTGATATAAAGCGTTGAAATCTCCCGATGAGAAGCTAGAATAATTTCAGTAGTTCAAAAGAAAAATAAACAATATAGTTCACTTGAAAGATTTGATGTTGTAATATCAAATTGTCTTCAAGTGCTTGCATGTCTTCTAGTTTTAATTAGTTTTTTTTAAGTTCTTTTATGATCTTGAGCTGCAGAATTGTTGTATAGTCTGTCTTCTTGTGTAACATCAAAAATATCCTGACAATAATTCAGTTCAAATGTAATTCCAGTCGATTTTCGTTACTGCATTTAGGTTAAGAAGATAAAGTCTTCATTAATAAGAATTGAATTCTAACAGAACATTATTTTTTTATGAGAGCATTGTATTTAATTCATAAAATAACACCTGTTACTAGTAATGTTAATGCTTCCCACTACACCAATTTCTGTCATTTTTGAGCATTTTTTAGTTTCATGTTTTTTTATATAAAAAGGGAAGGTTACTTCGAAACCCATTCTCATCTACACATGACATCTGTGACACGTCAGTAGAGTGCAATTTTATTTAGCGTACTCTTGTCTTCTTAAAAAAAAAGCAATCGTATACCTTATGAATTTTAATACTAGTCTAATTAGAATCGGCATTATGAAATATGTTTAAAGATAAAAATTATATTTAAGYGGTGCTAATTGGAAAAAGAGGTGATTAAAAACCGAGGACCTTTAAAGTGTAAAATTGRAGAGAGAGATTTCTAGAACTTCTTGGATTAAGTATACTTTTTTAATCACTGAAGTCTCGTGTGGATTTTAATCTTTTTAAACATTAAAATAGATGCAAGTGATTGAATACAATGGATCTCTATGATTGGACATGAGATACTGGATTATTCATGATGCACATAGGTAGTTTAGCCGTCACTTCAAGGACACCAGAAAGCTATTGCCACATTGATGCGATAAGAGACCTATTACTACATTGATACGAGCTTTGATGCGAAAGAAGGTCTCTCTTTGAAAGAGTGCTATTGCCGCATCGACGCGAGCTTTGATGAGAAAGAAGATCTCTTGTAAAAGGAAACTGGGATAAAATGGTTGAAGCGCACTCGAAAGGTTTTCACTTGACATGGTTGGTATTTTATTCAGCACAAAGTATTGCCATAGTAACATTGAACATCATTACAGTCACAACCATCTTAGTGAACCCTCAACTACGTTCAAGACGCAGTCTAATCTGTGTGATGAATCTCGCCATAGCTGACGCTTTTGTTGGTTTATTTGCAATGCCCTGTTATATTACCGAATATGGTATTTGGTTCCATATATGGAGTCTATCGCCTGTAAAGTATAACAAGYTGGTGATTCGAGGGGCCGAGGTTTTCTCCAGCATTGCATCCTTGTCGTTTCTGGTCCTTATTTGCCTGGAGCGCTGTTACGCCACGTTCTACCCATTTAAGAGTCGAGTAACGTCATTAKTGACGTACATAGTGGGTGTGGTCTCCACGTGGTTACTGGCCGTGRTAGCTGCTGTTTTGTATTTAGCAACCACTCCTTTTTTCTTCTTAATGGCGTGGTTACTGGKGTCGACCTGCATCATCAGYATTGGATATCTGGCCATCTACTTCAAGATGAAAAGACAAAGTCGACAACGACAAGAAATGGGTGGAGGACAAAACACCACACGAGAGAAAGAACTTGCTAAGACACTGTTCATCGTGACCGTGTCATCCATCGTGTGTTGGGTCCCTTTCACTGTWCTGAGTCTTCTTGTTTACTATCGAGTATACTACACCATACTTGCCACGAATTTTGGTAAATTATTACAATTTACTAATTCACTGATAAATCCTATTTTATATCAACTAAGAATGAAAGATGTCAGAAAAGCTACAGTCATGCTGCTTAAAAAATGCTCACGTGACAGCCCACGTGCTCCTGAACATCGATCAATTGAAGGATTTTATAATGCAGGCATGAATCATACGGAGTTGATGACTCCAAGCCCATCGCCAAGAGTCCGGAGAGAAATGTTCCAAGAAAGGCCCGGATTAGATTCATTGACTCCAAGCCCATCGCCAAGAGTCCGSCGAAAAATATTTCATGAAGGGCCCCCGTTAGACTCATTGGTGCCAAGTCCYTCGCCGAGCGATGACCGCAAAGAAGAATTTCAAGAGAGGAAAGGATYAAACATAGTCAGTCCCAGTCCTTCACCGGGAGTTGACCGAAGACAACCATTTGTGGWAGGGACTGGGWMAGAGTTGTTGTTGTCACCACGGATYRACCGAAAAGAAGCTTTTCTAGAAGAGATGCCACTGAGCCCCAGTCTCTCGCCGACGATAAAGCGGAGAAACACTTTGCAATAGAGGACTGGGTGYCTTACGTTACTCTGTTTTCTTGGAAAACTATTTGAATTTCGTGGGTAGAGGTGTGTTCTCGATGATCAATGTAACTGTGAGCGGTGATGCTTTTAGTYGTTGGAGMACATTATGCCGATGCATGTAGCTACGTAGTGTACTCACTTATCCATGAAACAGAGTACTTAGTAAAGCCGTGAAACAAAGTGCATTGTGGTCTAGACTCGGTAAAAACATCTTTTGTTCATGCTACTAAATATAGCGTTGTTTGAAGGTAGACCACAATRCATCATGAYTTTCTATTCATGCATTCAATGTCCCGCGTTTTGTCTGTAAGGATTTACCACATTAATTACTTAGATAGAATACTCCTTGCTTTATTGAAATATCCCAAAATACAGTTAATTCACGTATAAATAATCGTTCAGCTGAACTTTATAACATTTCCAATGAATACCAAATCAGTACGCATTCTTTGGTGACTGCGTTGTTTATGGTCTGCGGTAATCTTGGGTAGACCGTCCGGATCGCAGGCTCCAAGGAATGTAAATGTTGCTTTAAGAAAAGGCCAATAAAGGCTGAAACATTATCATCTTCACTTTAAGCTCGTTTTCTAACCAAACGTGGTATGGCAAGATAATTTTACAAGCTTAACTTTATAAAACGGCTCTCCATCGATATAATTTTATACTTTATTTTGGAGTTAATAAGTTAATATTTATATTATCATKATGTGTAAAATAGATTAAATTGAAATTGTATCAATAAATTAAAACCTATATCTATATATGATGACACAGGGAATCCAACATTCCTATTTGTGGCATGAAATAACACAGCGGTCGCATAGGTGTATGGGATACCACAGGAAGTCCATCATATATAGTGAGTTACCTAAGGAACTCATGAATTAATCCTATTAACAAGGTTYGGGGTCCAATTCAAATAAAAAGACTATCAGAAGATTTCATTTTATAAACCTCCAGCCAACTTTTCATATTGTTCTGTTTGTCATCACGTGATTTGCGAAACCCCGGTCACAGCTACCACAGGGAATCCATCATGTGTATTTGAATGGATTACACAGGGTTCCCAACTAGCTGGACTTACAGCATCTTTTCTTTTTAACTGGTGTTAAATTAACTAGATTTAGGACACTGTTCATCATTTCATCCTCGCGTTCTTGCAGCACCCTTAAAAGAAACACATTTCGTTAAAAACGTACGGTCAGACACCAAGGAGACAGGGGGTTTAATACTTACTCCGCTAGTTTGACCATTGCTTCATTGATGTTGTATCCTGTCTTTGCGCTGGTTTCCATATAAAGAGCGTTGTGGACCTAATGACAAAACTGTTAGCAGCACAGATACAAGAGTCTTTGTAGTATATGGACAACTTATGTGGCAATGAAATGACTTCGTTTAATACCACAAAATATCAAACCCCTTTACCGTATAAGCCTCGGATTATATACGTGTGATTGTATCATGTATAATTATCAAGAGCCACCTACTTTTGCAAGGCTTTCAGCTTCTAATCTTGATACGACTCTAGTTGAGCTGTCTTCGGATAAATCCAGCTTGTTGCCAATCACCATCAGCGCTGCCTTCTCCTCGGCCTCTTCCTTTGAGATAATTAAAGTATTATTAGATTATTAGACGAATGATAGTGATGAATACTCATCGGTAATTATAGATTTAATGAGATAATGATAACTCGAATGGTTACAGTAATAACTACCTCAATACATAGTCGGAGTATTAGTAGATTATTAAACGAATGATAGTGATGAATACTCATCGGTAATTATAGATTTAATGATAACTCGAATGGTTACAGTAATAACTACCTCAATACTAGTTGGAGTATTAGTAGATTATTAAACGAATGATAGCGATGAATACTCATCGGTTAAGACTTACTACCTCTACACTAGTCATCCAGCTCTTTAGATTGATGTACGATGATTCGGCTGTGACGTCATAGAATATCAATATCCCATCGGCCTTGCGAAAATACTGCTTGGTGATGCTGCGAAATCTATAAAGTTAGGAGTTGATGAGATTCAAAAACTAGTGTTTCTCAAAGATAAAAGACCATGGCTTTAAATGCATGAAAAAAACCCGCCGCATATTTCTGCAACCGACTGTGTAAAAGTTAAACAGGAGAAATTATGAATTTATGAGCAAAGGTAAATCTTCTTTAGAGTGAGACTAAGCAATAACTGATATAGATGTCACTCATAATAGACTTATTGTCCAGCTCGTTTAGCCCGAGTCAGCACTTCGCTCYTAGCTCGAGATGTTACCCGGGTTCTCCACCAGTGCATTCTTCTACTATTCCCTGGATTTTAATACCTTTCCTGGCCGGCTGTGTCCCACAACTGTATGGCTATACAYCTATCGTCTACCACCATTGTCTTGATTTGGAAATCCACACCTGGAACAAAGTAATACTCTTAGAAATACATTGGATTTATCAAAGATATCAGTACTTACAGTACTTGTCAGTACTTATCTTGTTCTTACAGCAATTGATATTCTAAGAAAGTTCGTACTTCACACAATAAYAAGTCTAATGCTGGTTGGTCGTTTGAGTAAAAACAGTTCACTATTTGCTTTCTTGTTGAACAGACGATGAGCACGGTTTACAAGTGGTTCACWTACCGATAGTTGCAGTAAAAGATGGCTTCCAYTGGTCGTGACAAAATCGATGTAAAAAACTTGACTTGCCGACACCTGAATCACCTACGATAACAACCTTGAACACGCGCACCGGTGTGGCTGGCTTAGCCGGTTCCAAGGAAGTCGTGGAGGCAGCCTCCTGGGAGAAACGTGAACAGAACTTAACGAAAATCAAGAAATTTAGTCACGAAAAAAGAAAGAAATGTACTCAGAGCGAATCACAACAATAACCAACAGTAAAACCCTCGATGGATGCTGATCGATATTCGTACTGTGGAGCCACATAAAAATGAGCATGCGCGGCACAAATGCATGTTCTACACGATCCTATCCCACATGGATGCGTTATTTATCCATTACGCGTGCTCCTATACAATTTCACAGCTTATCCCATAAGGTCTTGCGCCTTATTTCAAATTTACTGGAGTACGTTTCTTAATATTTGTATGTGACATTTTTCTGTAYTTGATGGATGTGAATTAAGTAAAACTCACAGCTTGCAAGGCTTCATCGTCTTTTCCAATYGGCGCAGTCCTCGGTGACCTTGGCCTTCCTCCATAATCACTGCCGCTGTATTCTTCCGATGAGAACACTGCGTCTGACGAGTTGCCGTGTTCATCTTCTGAACTTCGTTCTTCCACTGAAGGAAAAAAATAATTATTATTTGTGAAACGTTGCTCATTTTTTAACATCTTTTGCTTGTCTAGTTCATTCAGGCTTTTTTCAACAAAATATCTTAAATATAACTTAGCCTATAATTACCGAAGGGTGAAGTTATTGTTCTCAAGACTATGATTTTCAAAACCTTTTGTTCTTCCATCTTATTGAGATCAAGCTAAAATTACCTGAGGCGAGAAGTTCTGCTTTTCTTTGTCGAAAGTCYTCGATTTCTYGYTCTTCTTTTTTTCGTTTCTCATCCTCTGAAAAAATGAGTTCGTATCACTGGTGGTTCAACATTAATTGGTATCTGCAGTGATG